AGAACGAGAAGCTCCAGAAGCGGGTGGAACTTCTGACCAAGGAGCTTGACACCCTCAAGTCCCTCTTCACCAATGTCAGTGCTGCCCGCGGGAGCAACGCAAGCCGCAACTGAAGCTTCACGCCAAACCTGCCGGCCATGTGACATCCTACGCAGCACAGCCTGTGGCCGCATGCAGTCGTGTCGATCACCATCTTCGAAAGAACGTATCCGATTAAAAGTATCAGATCGGACTTACCTATATAGACTGCTATATATTCCCTATACTCAGTTTAATGAACAAATCACTTGTTTGACGTGTAAACGTTCTATAAGACAATCCAGCTTATTCAAAGGCACTGCTTTGAAGTCTGGAGATGCTTTTTTTGTGCTGAAGTGTAAGGTGTGTTGTAGAAAGGCTAGATATGCCGTTAGGGCCAAATATCATAACTATATTATATCGAAAGTAGTGTTTAAGTATCTTCTTCATTACAAATCGTCTGATGTGCGATTATGACAAATAGTGAATAAAGTGTGATGTATTTATTGTTCTAACCAGACCTCATGTGTGGTACTTTTTCTGTGTGTTGGTCAAAATGGTGACTGAGAGAGTGTGCTCAGTGAACTTAGTCCCAGCCTGGTTGATTGGGAGGAATAAAAAGAGTAAATATTAATAAAATACCCACAACCAGCTCCAAAGATGACTTGCATACTTTTCAGTAACATAATTTTTTATGTGTCTCTGTGCGATTGGCAGTTGTGATACAGAGTTCCTGCTCTGCTCAGGGTAATATACCTTTACTACAGTCATAATGAGTTGCTGACTTGATAAAAAAAAGGGTCGCTGGTGTTTGCACTTCTATAAATCATTGCCAGTTACCCATTGTGAGTGAAAATTTCGAGTACAAGGTTCATTTTACACGCATGTCGAGGCATGTGACCTGGCTGTAGTAAGGTTCTATCAAACCACTAGCTCAGTACGTTAAACTGTTTTTATGTCCATAAAAGTGGCCAGTAAGGACATGATCTAGAACATCTATATTGACACCAGTTGTCTGTTTTTGTGCCAACGTTCTCTGCATGGTTCTGTCAAATCTGTGCCAAAGTTTAGAGCCTTCTAGAACCTTGACCTTCACTTTAATCCTCCCATCTGGTGTATGCTGAAGGAGGTCAGAGTTCATTTTAGGAAGGGTGAAAAGGCCAGGGATTCTGATAAGAAACAGCTGGGGGAGCTATAATGTATGAAGTAGTTACAGCCAAGTTGGGCATGGAGGCAATTCCTAACAGTTTGAGATAAATAAGCCCCAAGCACTTAAAGTGTGCTGTACGGCACCAAGTTGGACTGGTAGAACAACATGTGGTTGGTTCTATGCTATCAGAACAGCTACATTTACATATAATAGAGCCATATAAAGGAGATATTATGGTAATAGGGTTAGAAATATTACCAACACATGTACAGTAGGTACTGTAGATATAAATTGTTATAAAATTGAGCCACCCACAAATCACATGGAATTTGTCGGATATTATGCTTACAGGAAAGGGCATGAGGACTGCCTTTCAGATATCAAGGGTAAAATTTCCACCTGGCAAACATGTTCATTCTTGTCTCCTGGCTAGGTCATCCCCCAAAATACACACGAGTCACATGTAGTGGAATTACCCATTAGTACATTTGACTTCACCAAAGATGATGCAAGCTCACCTGGTGGTTACATGATGGTGGGCTGTGTAAGGGGGAATCCCCTTCTGTGGGAGTCAGAGTCATGTGATGGGGGCAGGGAGGGGGTGTGCCTGTACAGGAAGGGGCCTGCCCAGGATACAAAAGGTGATTTTGATTTGGAGTTTAGAATAATCTGGCTTCTATAGAAAAGTCTCTTAGTGTTAATTGCTGTAATAATGAAATCACCCATTTATCATGAAGATAAAACAGGCCCACAGCACAGATTCTTTGTGTTTGGATATCCATAATCTACTGTGTTTTTACATCTTCAATTCAACCATGTGCAAGGTGGCACCGGTGCTGGATATAAATTACATACATAGTCATGGTTGACAGATCACCTGAGGTGACTATCCACCTTGTTCATTCTGGCTTCAAAGCCATCATGCTATAAGGTCAGTGTAAGGAACATGGAAACACGGAAGGCAGAGAAAGAAACCTGTGCCTTGCAGGAAAAGGCAATGCTCACGAACAGACTATGACTATGAGGCATGTCAGAATCGTCTCTGAGGTGTCTCACTACTGTGACAGACCATGTCAAAGGTTTGGTAACAGGTGGGTAATCTGAAGCGAGGCAACTTCCACTGATGGCTGTGTGATGTAACACTGGAGGCGTCTTGCAGCAGTCTGAAACACAGGGATCAGTCTGTAACAAAGGACAAATCTTACATCAGTTTATATTCAAGAATGGATAAATTGTCTTTTGTACATGTCCTTACACTAATCTCTAAGTAAAAGTGTTTTGTGAATTAAATTTGTATTTTTTAATGACGAGATGCAGTACCTTCACTCACCAATAGAATGCGCTTCTGTATAGTCGGCTTAAGATCATTTGTGCAATGGTTGTGGTTGTAAAGATAATTGAATACGCAGAAGTTTAAATCACATGATAAATGACCAAAAACATCATGATTCTTAACTAGTCCACAGAGAGGCACCCTTGCCTTCTCGCAACATTAATGGGACTCCAGGTGTATTGTGACTGTACTTATTATTAATAAGGTCTTTTATTGTGAAAAAACATGACTTTGCAAGTTCCAAATAAAACCAGAGGAAGAAAGTACGTTTCACATAATATCTGAACATGTACAATTTAAATGATGTACAAATTGCTTGCTACAAATAATTTAACTACACTGCATCTCCAGGTAACTGAACTATCAAAAATGACCAAACAAGACACATTTTCCAAAGTTTTATTCTGAGAAACATGATACAAAGTTGTTGCTAGCCCAATCCTATAAGTACTTCTGTTGTGAAGATGGTATTCTTCATCATAAACAACAAAGGTAGACAAGAACATATAAATAGGTTGCTTTCCAACCTTCTTCCAAAGAATGCTTGAAGACTTTAACTCAACATACTATTAATCTTTTTAAGAACAGTTTGGGACAAAACAAAATGTAGTTGTGGAACTTGTGGAACAAAAAAGTAGTGCTGAGATCTGGTACCCGGTATTTCTTCCTCTTGAAATGACTTATGAAAAGT